GCACGCACGCACGCACGCACGCACGCACGCACGCACGCACGCACGCACACACACACACACACAAGCAAACACACAAGCAAACACACAAAAAACAGTTTTATTCTTGAAATATTGAAGTAAGAATAAAAATAAATCCTTTTCACTAAAAGCCTGAGTCAAATTGAACCATATTCACACTAAAAAGTCAAACTGCTTGTAACTGACCGTTCAGAGTTAATGCTTTGATCCGTTAACTCCGTCTTCAAAGCATCCATATCGCTCTGCAGACAGGCAACTGTGGTCTGAGACTTCAGCAGCTCCTGTTTTAACCTCTGGTTTTCCTGGAAAAAAAACAAAACAACAGAAAACAGAATCTAAATAGAAAATAAAACAGCAATAAAAACCACTGAAAAAGACCAAACCAGCTGAAACTCTCTGTTGGATGTGTTCTGACTCACCAGAGTTAGCTCATTGATCTTCTTCTTCAGAGCTGCGCTCTCGTCCTTCACAGTGATGTTCCTGTATTTTTCCTCTATCTGATAAATAAGTTCAAATATTTAGGATTAAAATAATTTCACTTTGATTATGCTATATTATCTAATTGATGCTTGTGTTTTTATGACGCTTAGATTTGAGATTAAATTGAAGAAACATAACTTGAGTTTAGCAGCAATAAAACGTCTGATAACGGCGTTTTTCGAAGAGTATTTTTTTAAGCTTTAATCTTTCTGTAAAGTAAATAAAATCATTGCAGATTATTGCTTATTTATTTCAAATGTACACCGTTCAGTAAAAAAAAGCTTAAACTTAATAAGAAATATCAATGTCATCTGTCAGCTTCATCCAACAGTTTATGTGGGATAAACTTGTAAAAAAAATCATATAAATGTCTAGATCATAAAGTTTCTGGGAGTGATGTAAAGGAAAAATTCTATAAAACTTATAACAAAACAACTCTAAAACATTCAACCTGCAGTGCTGATGATTTTTTTTATAGTTAAAGTTAACTGAAAATTACCATCTGCATCCTCTGGATTTTACACTGCAGCTCACACACTTCTGTCTCATAGGATCTTCGTAAATCACTCAGGGCCGCTTCTGTTTGTTTCTTCTCCTACAGAAACACACAAAAAGAGTCCAATGTTACAAAAAAATGACATCATTTCATGTCTGCTTCACTTTGAAATCATTCTGAACCACTAGTGCAACAACTGTTTGAGTAAATAAACGTTTCTCTTGCAAATGTCAAACTGACTGTGCATCCTGAACGTCACATAGGTCACAAAGGTCATCATGTAGGAAAACACAGGTGAACACCCTCTAATTTTCTGGGCTATTTTAGCACTGAACAAACAGCAGCTGCTGAGTTAGAACATTTAGATAAGACACCGGCACAGCGACCAGATTATCTTCCTGCTTAAGTTACATAATAGCACTAGGAACAACGATAACATGCATTTAAGTCAGTTACATGAATAAAATGTTTTGACAACGGATTCAGGAAGTGTTAAAATCAAAATCAAGCACATTTGCTTGCATTAGTTCAGTAAGCCAACACCCACAGTCTTGCCTTTATACAGGGATTTGTTTAAAAAAATCTAAAAKAACACAGAATTTAAACACAACATGCATAAAGTTAGATACTGCTGCAAACTGATAAAAATGTAATTATAAGATGATCAATCTGTCACGCTATCAGTGTACAATTGTATATACAAGATTTCTAAGTATTCTGTTTATTTAATGTTAATTTTGACCTAATTTTTTCAAGTCTAAGATTATTAGCTGTGAATGGGGTTGTGGTAAGCAGGGAGCAATGATCTTTCCTGCTGATTTGATGTGAAAGACTCTTAAAATACCCAGGAATGTCCAAGAAAAACAACGAAATCTTTTTCTCACTGATTCCCATAAAACTTTAAAAGTTATTTTAWCATTAAATGATTGTAGACAAACTTCATTTTACAAGTTGCTTTATAATACAAAGTAGTTCTCACAGATGAGGTGTTAAGAAAGGTAAGAAATATGTTAGTGTTAAAGCTCTTTTCTTAAATTAATGTCTGTTTTCCCAGGAAGAAAAAAAATCACATTCATGATGGTGAAACTTCAGGGTTTTACCTAAAGGTTTTTTTTTCCCCACATGCTGATTTAAAGAGCTCTGACTCCACGGTGATGAAACTTGAATCACCGAGCGCACACCACCATTATCCCTTTATCCACATTTCTGCATTCACGTATCGCCGAATCTTATCGCCACAAATATGTTCGGCCTTATCATTTTTTAACGGGAGGACAAAACGTGCTCCAGCACATCCATCTGACTACCAGCTGGTTTGCGTGCATCGGCTCGTCAGGCGTGTCTGACTTTGGATCGGTGAGCTGATATACGTGTGTTTGTTTGACATGAGGGAAGAGCTGATCAAACCCAGGCTGCTTATCACCTACATAAACTCCAGAGAAAAACAAACTGATAGCAACCAGCGGCTGGATGCTGAAACTTGACCGCTCTGTAATTACACTCTCTGTGAAACGCTGAGTGAGTCTTGGTTTGTCCCCACCTGCTCCCGTGTTTTTCTCTCCGCAGCCTGAATGCGTTGGTCCATCTCCTCCTCCATCTCGCTGAGCTGCATCGAGGCTTGGTCCTGGGCTCTGAAAAACAATCATCTCTGCGTTTCACGAACACGGCTGAAAGCGGACTCATTCTGAAGTCAAAAGCAATTAACTGTCAGTGAGGAAATTACACGTCCTGTCATTCAACAGTGATGTCACATGTGACCTTTGACCTTCACTGTGTCGTGTGCGAGTCTCACCGTCTGATGGCGAGCGCCAGGTTCTCCGTCTCTGAGTTCTGCTGTTTGATCTCTTTGCTGAAGTTAATGATGACTTTCTCTAACTGAGGAATCAGTCTGGGCTCAGTCAGGCTGATGTTCTGGTACAGTGTTGCTGCCTGTTCCCGTCTGGAAGAAAATCAGGACGTCACTTACAATTATCTGGAGATGACAGAGGGTGAAAACTGCCAATCCAACATATTGATTTCTTGGCTCACAAATACAAATTTGATTAAAGGCACAGTGTGTAGGATTTGTTGTTTTCAGCGACATCTAGTGGTTGAATCATCCTCCCTGGTCCTCCCCCCACCCCCACCCCCCGCTTCCAAACGCAAAGGAGTTGCTACGGTGTCTCTCAGGTGTCAAAAACCTTTGATAATTCCAACCGCGATGTCTACCAGCAGCTTCAGGGCTAGTGATGTTTCAAGTGGTAAGATTATGAGCTTTAATAAGTAAAATTATCCCAGCTACAATGACAGACAACAAATATTACATTTATAGTACTACAACTAAAACTGTTTTTGACGCCGCCACCGCAGTTGGTTCTTCATGAGCCTTCGTAGACAAGATGGCGGTGCAAGATGGCGGCTGCCTGTGTGGTGACCCGCAACCATGGAGATATAAACAGCTTTTTTAAGGTAAAAATAATAAAACGAGGTCTTTGTCTGCAATGATTAGACATGTTTTTTTTTTTATTGTCATTAGTGATTTTCTCAATTTCGGCTAAAAGAATTTACAAAATCCTACACACTGTGCCTTTAAATATCATGTTTATTTATTGTACCTTGCTCTTTTAGGTGGATTAAAATTGTTTTGAGGAACAATACATGTAAAAAAAGAATCAATAGTTTGGCCAAATCCATCGTTTATTGAAGCATCACTTGGCTTAATCAAGTTTGAAACAAAATTTTTACTTTTATCTAAATTTTTTAATGGTCATCCCAATAGAATGTGTAAAAATTGCACATGGCACATCCCACTGCAGGTCCATCTGAAAACATACTAATACTAATATTATCATGTTGTTTGTCTCTCAGGAAGTTTAAATAAGTTTCTGTAGGCGTGCAAAGTGTGTGTTTATCTAGTGAGCGGGATGACTGACTGTAATCCTGTGCATATAGACACTGATATATGATATGATGATATTCACTGACATTCAGTTGAATCCTCCTGGTGACACATATCTCAGTGTTGCGTCACCAAGGGTCAGGACAGAATAAAAAGGAACAAGTAATAATCCAGTATCAGACAAACAAATATAAACAGAGTTGGTTGTCAGGAAGTTGTTCATGTGATCTAAAGCTGCAGGAACCCCCCACCCCCAAAAACAAACAAAAAAGACCCTAACACTCTCCCTATTTTATAGACAGTCCACCCTAAGTACCTTTGTGACCACCTGTCATGTCTGTATTTGCACAGCTGACTTTCATTCTTCTTCTTCTTATGTGTAACTCCACCTCCCCAAGCTCTCTTCCACCTGCTCCCTGTACTCATCCCATTATAGTCCAGTGGGTGGGCAATCCTGGCCCCGGAGGGCTGCAGCCCCTGTGGGATAAATCTTGTGCCAGCAGGAATTGAATTTAAATCGCTCAGATGGAATCTGAATGTGCATAATTTGACACTGAATGCATTGGTTTGAAAATAAATTTTTCTAAATTGAAACTCAATTTAATGGTTTGAAACTGAATTTAAAGTTTTGAATTTTAATTGATTTGCTTTGAAACTGTATTTTGGTCTATCAAAATTTCTGCTTGACTACTTTCACTTTCAGTTCTATAATTCAGATTTTTGTGTCACACATCATGGTCCTTGAGAAAGCCAGCCAGAGTAATCAAACACAGATCCACAGATTTATGTTTCACTTTGGTGAAGTTTCCCTTCTGTTTGTAGTTGATGCAATCCACCGTAAAAGTGACAAAAACAAAGTTATTTTATTGCAGTGGTTAATTTTACCCATAGAAAATGTTACATTTACATCACATCATYGATCACATATTGATCAGATGCTGCTGCTGACTGATCCATGATGTGATGTAAATGTAACATTTTCTACATATAGGTGAAATTAATCACTGCAATAAAATAACTTCATTTTTGTCACTTTTCTGGTGGATTGCATCAACTCTGTTACAAACAGAAGGGAAACTTCACCAAAGTGAAACATAAATCTGTAGATCTGTGTTTGATTACTCTGGCTGGCTTTCTCAAGGACCAGGATGTGGGACACAAAAATCTGAATTATGGAACTGAAAGTGAAAGTAGTCAAACTGAATTTTTAACAAACCAAAAATACAGTTTAAAAGTAAATTAATTCAGATACAAAACTTTAAATTCAGTTTCAATTTAGTGAAATTTATTTTCAAACCAATGCTTTCAATTTCAAACTATGCCCTTGAAGAAATTTAAAGTTATTAGAGGTTAGTACTGATGTTAAAAGCACAACACTATATTCTTAGGTTTTCCTTTTTGTAATGTTGACAGTGTTTAATCTATATACGTTTTGATTGATATAGATTAGTWACATGTCCGAAATATGTGACAACACATAATCAACCGTTATGATAACAGTAGATTAGGATTTTGTCTGAATGCCTGTGATTCAGCCGTAGGTCAGTAGGGGGCGAACGCAGGCATTGAAGGTGTTTAAATACATGAACTTCCTGGTTTTTTGGTAGTGTTGGTTTTCTGTCTGCTTCAGCGACAATAAACCTCACTCAGATCCATAATTCTGGTGTTGTATGGTTTGATACCTTCTACAAATCATTTTATTTAACAATTGCGTTTATAATATCGACTTCAGTTCATTGAATACAAATTTTCTTACACCCATTCAGATTCATTCTGAGCAATTCAAATTCAATTCCTGCTGGCACAAGATTTATCCCACAGCCCTGCATGTTTTACTTGTTTCTCTGCTCCAACACACCTGTAAACAGTAAAATATGCAGTGCTGCGGCCCCCGAGGACCAGGATTGCCCACCCGTTACAGTCCATCTCACCTCTGTCCTTTTGGCAGCCGCTCCCTCATCTGTTAGCTCACAGCCTGATCATTAATCTGAGTCAGCTGAGAGATGAGACCACCTCACCTGCTTACATAAGTCTCAAACAAAGTAAAATAAAGTAAAAGCGTAAACATTTGATTTTTTTCCCACTTTTTATGTGGACTAGATTTGTCATCCTGCCATCTCTCCAGTGGATGGAACAATGTGGTGGGAGTTCACAGATAAGGAAGTCTTTTCAACAGATGGCACCACTGTGACAATCAATGTGCTGATGCCACAGAGGAGCAGCGTGAATGCCAGTCTCATGCCAGGCCTGAAGCTACACACACAAACACACACACACAGAAACACACATATTATATAAAACAGTGCACAGTTCCAGCTGCAAGAGCACCYTAGATATGGGCCCTGCTGTGCTCAACAACCCGGTTATTATTAGCACAAGCTGATAACACATTATTCAACATTTTATACCTTCAATCACATGCTGCTAACATAAAATGATTTTATAAAGTGACAAAAGTCTAAATAAAAGTGCTTTTGCTGCGTTTATCAACAGCATTATTGTTTTGTTTAAAAAAGGCCGACCTCAAATTTCATAGAGTAAAGCATGAAAACGATGTTCCCCAAAGTAAAAGGTTAAACAAAGCTGATGGATGTTTGCTAAAGTTATGCATATTAGTTGTATTCAAGCTGTTATATAAGTTAAAGTTTTCAAAATACTTCCTCTGTTTAAATATGTTCATTCAGCCTCGAGGTTGGCCAGCTTGTTTGTACAACCTCGTTTTATTTTTTTATTCTGCAAATCTGTTAAACATTTTAAACATATGATAAAACAACTATCACCAGTTATGGGAGATGATTTACACTTTAGTGCCAAAAAAAAAAGCACACCCAGTTCACATTTATTGTGCACTGACCCAGATGTTACTGTCATCATATTACTCTAATAGGTCCATGATAAAATGACGTTTTGAATGAAAGCTATTCATTTATAGCTCATCAGTGAGAAGTTTGAGAAAAATGTATATTAGCTACGGATGAAACCACAAATTAAAATATGTTCAAATATCTGCCATGAACCAGAAGTTTCAGTTCGACAGTCTGGCAACAACCAAATGGCTTCAGTGAAACAGAGTTCAGTTTGGAAACTTCAAATGGTTCAAGTGAAATTTAGGAAATAAAAATATATAAAATCAAACGGCCGCTTAACCCCAAAACTTTTTTTTGTGAAGAGAGTCAAACCTGCTACAAAGTAAGTTCACAAACTGCTAAATAAATTCAGAAAATTTCAGGAAAAAATTAACAATTCAGTAAAATAAAAGAGGAGAATACACTAACATTTATGTTTACATATCATTTACTTCATAAGTTTTCAAATGAAATAAAACGTTGAAAGCTGACAGAAAAAAAAGTTAAAATTAAAATGATTTCTTTTCTTTTTTTCACTTTAAACAGTATGTATTTAACTAGTATTTAACTAGTATTTAACTCTTATGGCTTTGACCGTTTTGAATTTAGAAGAACTTTAACACTGAATATAAACTCCTGCAAACAGCTGTCATTTCTGAGGAACAGGGAACCTGTTTAGTGTGTTTGTCATTTGGTGTTTTCAAAGGGTGTGTAGACTTATAAACTGCAGATTTTTGTTTTTGTTATGTATGTCTTTTCTTTTCAGTCCTTACTTGTTCATCTACTGTCCCACATGGAGATAAAGGGGCTCTATCATCTTTACGCACACTGCGCTCTCTGTTAAACACAATCCTATCACCTGAACATTTCCATAACTTCAGGCAGCCATCTGTGGCGTGTTCTGCCTGCTTGTGCGCTCTCACCTCGGGATGTACTTGGCCTGCTCGCCCAGCCTCCTCTCAAAGTCCTCCCAGGCGAAGGACACGTCTCCCCGGGTAGTCTCCATCACGTCCTCTTCGTGGCGGCCGTGGAAGCCGCGGATGAACTCCTGCAGGGTCACGGTTCCGTCCTGGTCCACGTCCAGCCGGTTAAAGATCTTGTCCGCCTCTGCCTCGGACACCCGCAGCTCGGCACAGACGGTGAGGAACTCGTTCCTCTCGATGCGCCCGGAGTTATCCGCGTCGTACGCGTGGAAAAGGGCGCGCAGCCGGTCCCTTTCCTCCGCGCTCATGCCCCTGATGTGTGGCTGAGGCTGGCTGCAGTGGGGGTAAAAATAAAAGGGTTTCACACAACAGGGATGACTGTTGAGACGGCGAAGGTCAGAAATCCAACACACAAAAAATGGTAACTTCCAAGATTAAATCCGCCTTTTTTCCCCCACAAACAGGAAAAAGTTGCGCAAATGTTTGGATGAACTTAAAGCCTGTTCCAGTCTGTCAGCTGTGTGGAGGAAAGCTGCTGCTGTGTCTGACTCAGGTAACACACCTGACTTCAGTGACAGACTGTTTGTTCACTCCTCCCTCTGCAGACACAAAGGTGTGCACTGCAGACTGAAAGCAGCCCAGTGGGGAAAAGCTTTAACACTGTAAAAAAAAGTGCTGTTTTAATCTGTCAAAATGTATTTTAAATCTTGTTTAGCAAGAGCAGAATATATTAGATTGTTAGAACTTCTAATTTCTCTTATTTCAAGCAGGGGCGTTAACTTTAAGTCTATCGTTGGGGGGGGGGG